AAAGTTTAGGTTTCAATACTGTTTCTTATGAGGATACAGTAAAAGTTTGGTTTCGAAAGTTTAATACTGGGAATTTCAACATTGAAGATGAACCACGTTCTGGCCGCCCTATTGAGGTTGATTGTGACCAGTTAAAGCAAATTATTGTTCAAGACAGAAATTTTTCAACACGAACTATTGCGTTAGAGCTTGACATTTGCCAAAAAGCAATAGCAAATACTCTCAAACGCATAAATCTAACAGTTAAGTTTAACCGTTGAGTGACTCGCGAATTGACTGCTGAAGACAACAGCAAGAGAAAAGCGGCCTGTTTGGTTCTGCTCAGAGATCAAAGAAAAGAGGACGTTCTGGACAGAATTGTGACCTGTGATGAAAAATGGGTATACTACAACAGTACAATATACAGCAATATGCTAATCAAAGTTAGCGATACGATTCGCGAAAAACTAGTTCAGAAGGAAGGTGATTCTCTTTCATCAAGATAACGCTTGGCCACATGTTAGTGCAATGACCGGCATGACGCACCACACGTTAGAGTGGGATTTGATGCAACATCCACCATAGAGCACAGACCTTCGGATTACTATCTGTTTTCAAATCTGCAGCTGCATCTTGATGGCACAATCTTCCGTTCAAATGACAAGGTCATAAATGAGGTCGATTGCTTTCTCTACTCGCGCACCCCCCAGTTCTTCGCAGAAGGGAATGAAAAGTTGCCAAAACGTTGGCAGACTATTGTTGATTTGAATAGAGATAACTATTCTCATTAGCTTTGCTGATTTTGTATGTGTTTGTCATTTTTCAGGATTTTTTTTTTGGCGGAAAACTTTTTACTCAACCCGATAAAATAAAAATACCATTCAATTTTCAACTTGGTTATTCGATTTGTTAATTTTCTGTACCACCGCTATATCTCTTTATGAGATACAGCGACCGCTGTGTCTATAAATGATAGCAAAATGATAAATTATAGCATTTTTTCACTTAATTTGAAAATAAGCAAAGAAACCAATAATAATTTAGCAAGTTTTTTGTATTTAAAATAGTAGTTAAAAACAGCGCAGGTGTGGAAATCAAAAAATTTTCTCTACAAATTCTGTAAAAGCTCCATTTGAATGGGGGGGGGGAATTAAACATTATTGGCAATTAATAACATATTTTTCTATAATTTATATTTAAAAAAGCATATGGATAAGGAAGGATTTTAAATAATTTAGATAAATACATAAAATGTGGTCATCATGCTCTGAAATTTATATATGATAAAAATATCGCGCAATCGTACCTTATCTTTAAGTTAAAACTTTGATATATCAATTTAAATATCTCTTAACTAAAAATATAATGGAAAATAGTTAATAGGGCTTTGTAATTTTTTTTATAATGTTCTAATTTTGCTTCATGTTAAACGTCATATTTTTAGAACCTAAGGCTCATCAGCAATCCAGTTGGAGACACACAGTAATTCTTTATTTTATTATATGTATAAATATATATACAGGTGGTTATCAAAATAATGGAAACACCCTAGATTTTGAAGGCTTGGGAATTGCTGTTCTGCCGTAAATGTTCTCTTTATGAAGGTATCTCCTAACTGTAATTGTTGACATTGGAGAATCCAGATGCTGATTGAGCTCTGTGGTCACTGTGGCTGCAGTTGTTTTCTTTTTAGACATTACAATCCGCTTCAATACCCGTCGGTCTCTTTCACTCAGCTTCTCCTTCCGTCCACTATTTTGCTTTGCTGAGCTTGTCTTTCCGCGCTGTGTGTATGCTGTCATGACTTTAGACACCGTACCTCTAGAAACGCCTAAAAGCTGGGATGTTTCGGTCACTGTTGCTCCAACTAGTCGGGCTCCTACAATTTGGCCTCTCTGAAAATCTGTGAGGTCTGACATTTTACGCTTCTGACAAAAAATCAAAACGTAGACAACTCTGCTAAAGCTCTCTCATACCACCTAATATATGTACTTTTTATATTAAAAAAAACTGGTAGCTAAGATTATATTTTAATGCTTATGAAGCGAATTCTTAAATGTCCCTTTTATTCACAAGTGTTTCCATTATTTTGATAATCACCTGTATATATATATATATATACAGTCAAACCCCGCAATAGTGAACATGGTTTATAGTGAACGAAATATGCGCTCCCGTGCCTTTACTATACACATATATTATTTTTTGTGGATATAGTGAACCAAAAGTAGAGAGGAAATTGGATATTATGAACTTTTTTCTGTCTTCAACTGATTATTATTTTTTTTTCTTTTCGTTTTTTGGTAATTTTGAAATTTTTACATAAAATACAAATATCGATTTTTAAAACCATCTATTGAGTGAAATGTAGCCCTAAGCATATTTTCCTTTCTTGCTTTTTCTATCTCAATTTCCCATCCCTATATAAAGGTCATCTCTAAATTTTTTGTTTGCAAGACGAAGAGTAATAAAAAATAAAAGTGAACACATTTTTTGTTACTATATATTGTTTTTTAATCATTTTTGTATGTCTTTTAATTGGTCATTTATTTAAATGTGTAATAAAAGGGAGCTCTTCGGAAAAATTAGCTAAAATTGTTTGCAGTTCGGATATAGTGAACTCCCGGTTATAGTGAACCGAAATTTCGGTCCTTTGAAGGTTCACTATAGCGGGGTTCGACTGTGTATATATATATATATATATTATGCACTTAATTGCTGGCCCATCACCCCTAGGGACGCCAAAACGAAGGGGTGTGCAACCCTAACACTACCAGCCCTCTTTAACCCCCTATATCATTATCTTCTCCATCATAGCTGCAGCTTCTTAGAGGGGTGGGGGCTGAAATCCAGGGGCATCTAAAAGTGGATTAATACCCCAAGACACCATAGGAGAGTAATGCCCTTTCTTTTCTACTCAATCTGTCACATTCAACTCTCCCAAGGCACCTTAAATTTTTCCCCTTTCTTACCAGTGAGTGTACATACTATTCAAGGGGACCTTGACCTACACACAGCTGGGAGGAAATGTTGACCACACCTTTCTTCCTAGCTGAGGAAGAGAGGGAGAAGCAAAGGATTACTTCCCCTTCTCTTCCCACCACAGGTAACAAACATCTGCACTTATGTTTGCAATCTTCAATTCAGTGACTGTGATTGATTATCTACCTTCCCCCCCCCACTCATTGTTCATTTATAGTCTAACACTAATCTTCTACCCTAAACATTAGGATAACTATTTTTTAGAAATAAATGTTATGAATTTATTCTTAAAAAAAGAACTTTTTTAAATTGTGTTGTAGAGAAGGGGGCGGTTTTTTGGTACTGATTGGCAATCTGTAATTATGTGAAAATACAGAGGGGGCGTTTTATCGGTTTAATTAAAAGTTATGTTCAGAGTTTTAATATAAATAAATATAGTTTTTGTGTTGTGTGGATTCATCGGACATAAAATCTCCTTATAAAAAACTGACACAATTTAGAATTATTCTATTTTCTAGGAGAATATCTGTAAGCTGTAATGTATTAAATAGTAAAAGTCAATTAAATTGTGCCAAAGTGTTAGAATGATCCAGTTCTTTTCAAAATTTATAAAAATGTTCTAATATTTCATGAAAATTCTACAAGAAAAAACTATTTCAAATACCCTAAATCGAAGAAAAAATCCCAAAATTGCAATAACAAAAAATGCTGAAATAGTGCAAAAGTTCAAATGTCATCAAAATTCTGACCTTAATCTTGACAAATGCCAGGTAGATAGTTTTTCCCATACACTTATCATATAAGGTAATATTAATTTAAATAAAAAATTTATCATGTTAAAAGTCTCACTGATCAGTAAAGCTAAATAAAGTCCATTACAAAGTTCACCGTAAGAAAGTCAAGGATAGTCCAAAGTCTCGAAAAAAGAGTCCTAAGCAATCAAGAATGTGATGGTTGTGCAAAAGAGTATTTACATCATATAATTATAGTGTTATATTATTGTGTTATTTATTTTGAATTGAAAGGTATTTTGCATGTATGTTTAGTGCAACTGTTGTTAACATTCCCAACTTAATAAATAATAATCATTTCAGGTTCCAGCAGCTGGTTTGATGTTCCTCATGCTTTTCTCAGGCAATTTCTTAACCACAGCTTTGACTGTGCATCAAAAGTTTAGTCTGAATTCTTTACTCTTCCGCAAAGTTCAATAAAGTGTAAATGATTGCCTTGATTCTTTTCAGTGCAAAACTTACGTGACCTGAATGATAAGATAATGATAAATCAGTATTATATTATTTCATTCTCATTCCAATATTCAGAATGTGATCACTTACTTTTTTGTAATTACATTTTTTCATATCAATTTCTAATATTTGAGGTTTTGTTTGTTTTTTTAATTAAAAAATTTTATTTCATAGACATTATAAATGTGCATAAATAATTTGTTCCTTAAGAGTGTTTTAATCCATAGTTTTATATTTTAAATGATCTTATATATGCATATACAATTTATAACTAGATCTACTTAAAAATAAATATTTTTTAAACATTTTTTTCTTAATTTTACTGAGAGAGATATTTTGTAATTTTTTATTGTTGTATCAATTTATTGTCAATTAACATGATTTATTTTAACAGTATGAATTTGAACTAAGTAATGTTGATATAAATATTTTCATAAAGGCAAGCATTGCTGGTATTCCAAGAAATTATTTATGCGATGTATTTTTAAATTGTATTTATGTATAGATTTAATTATCTAAATTCTCTGTTTGGATAAAATGGCTACATATCAGAGCTATATATTTTTTAATATTCCTAGAATAAATTTTTATATTATTAAATAATTATCAGCTATCTATCAATTTTATATGAAAATCAGTTCAGTGGGAAAATATTTAAGTTTGATTGTGAAACAGTTTTGTTGTACCAATTTTGATTTATAATGAAAAGGAGTTTATACTGTCTTTCAAATATTGCTAGAAAATCTAAAGATTTCTTAAAATTTAGATCAATAATTATTAATTAACTCCATTTTTTCCTGCATTTGTGTGCCAAACAGGAATTTTAGTTATTTTTCTAACAAAACATTAATAGTTTTTATAATTCTTGAAAATTTTGCAGTCTAATGTATTTCATATTTGGAGAATCAGATTTAACAATTTTAATAAAGTTTTATGCATTGCATTGACTAGAAGGTGTTTGCCAGTTGATGCACATTATTTAATATTACTGGAGTAGAAATTCTTCAGCGTTAAATTATGGGTAGTAAAAAGGAAATAACCTCTATTAAACTATTTATTATACAAACCTACCTATGCTTCTATTAAACTATATTTTTGACCATTCAATTTTTTATATTAGTGATGACATTCTACAATGAACAAAAAATAAATAAACTATAAAAAGTAAGAGAAAATTTGAAAGAATAATTTTTTATCAAATTTTCACTTACTAAAACTTCATTCTTTTACTACTTCAAAGGGCAAATCAAATTTCAAATGATTAATTATTTAGAAAATTAATGAATAAATTTTTTTAAACAAATATTCCTAATTGATTAGTGCTTTTTGACTTATAAATTGCAAGTATGGATGCTGCAATCTGTAAAACATAGACCTGATAAGTTAGTTAAGAAAGTAGTCAATAGGTCTTTTAAATGTTGAACATTTGGAAATAGTAAAAATGAAAATATCAAAATCGCAAAATCGAATGTGTGTTATCCAAGTAGTGTGATACTGTGTTCGATTGTATATAATTTCGTCCAAAAGAACTGAAACTTGCTCAACAGTTATATTTTTTAAATAAAAAATTTCTTTAGTGTGAAACACTATTTATCCATGGTATTTCATAATCCTGAATTAATTCTTTTTTTAAAATTAATAAATGTATGAACAATAAGTGATATATAATGTAATTTTACAAAAATTACTATTCTGCGTATCCCTAACTATGATACTTATTATTTAAGATATAGGTAGTACACAAAATGGAAGTTTGTTTGATTTTTAAATTGTAATTAAAATTTTTATTTTTTGATAAATGAAATTTTTTTTTTTCAGAATAAAATAAGAAAAGTTCCTATTTTTTCACTTTTTCTAATAATGTGATTGTATTTTCTATAAAACTAGTTGAAATAACTTATATTTATTATGTTAATTATATTTGTGCACACATAATGAAAATTAAATATTTTTGATAATACTTTTATAATTAATCACTTTTAATGATTATTTTAGGAAGCATTTTGTTATCAGTAATTAGAATATATTTATCAATTTCAAAACATTGTTCAAAAACTGCTTCCAAAAAAATTATTAAATCTATTGTAGTACTTAATATGCACATAATTTATATTTTTTAAATGTACAATTCTATTGATTGTGATATATTATACTAATGCCATATTTTATGACACAAATGTGTGTTGTTTTTGCAGCTAAAATTTTGTTTATCATAATTGACTTTATCTTGTTGTGTTTTAATTTTTCAATAAATTATTTAATTTCAAGTGTTAGTTTCTTTGACTATTTTTTGTCGAATGATATACTTAACATATATTGGTAACTAAATGAATTTGCCTTTTAACTATCAATTTATTTTGATGATTTGGATACAATTCATGTCAATTCAATTGTTAATTTTTTATATTGCAAAAATCGAATGTTTAGTACAAAATAAAATATACTTAGTGGTTAAAAATTGATATTTTGAATTAAAAAATTTTAAGATTTTGTAGCCACTGCATATTTGCTTGAGGCATCTGCCACTCAATGGTGCAGGCAACAGGCAGTGGTAAAGTTCGCTTCTAGTGGAGCATTATTTTCTAAAAAATAAATAAATAATTCGTATAACATTTAAGAACTGGATGCCATTTTGCAACAACAAAAAAAAATACAGCACACTTTGAACATAAACCTCTATCCTTTGAAATCTTCAATAAAGTGCTGCCATCTATTGTTCTCAATTGCATGTGAATTAATTTTCCCTAAGATAAATTCAGGGATAACAATACGATGCACTCAACAAAAAAAAAATTACTAGGGCATGACATTTTGGAACACCAGTGCAGTGCCAGAGATTATTTCGGTCATGACATGTAAAAATATTATTTTTCAAAACAGATTTTGCTTATAAAAGTTAGACATTAGAAATAATACCTCATTCATCTCACATTAAAATTAGAAAGCTCTACTTTTGTTAAACTTTTAGCCATGCTCAGAATCATGTAATGGAATTAAAATTCATATTTATGTACGAAGTTTGGAAGATAATAATTTTGAATCAATAATTTAACTTGTCATAAAATAAATATTTTTATTGCATTAAATCAATATAAAAATATACAGTAACAATAAAATATATATATATATAAAGTTTTATACATGATATTATAGATACATTAGTTTTTTCTTAGGTTTAGGTTCTGTGATTTTTGCATGAACCATAGCAGCACACAGAATTATATTTATCACCAATCTTGAAAGGGATATTACTCCTAATTGATTATCAGCATGCCTCCAGTTTATGTAAAATTGGTCCGAAAGACCATTAACTAAAAGATATTACAAATCTGTACACATTTTTACTGGTTCATTTACATATCTCTATTAAATTTTTTTATGGAAAAGTTAATAATATGAATTTAAAGAAAAAATTACAATACATGAAATGTATATCACATTTATGACGAAGTATTCTATTTTGTGACAGCAACATAGACCAAAACTGAAAAACAAAAACAGCATGTCATCCCTTTACATCATTTGCTGGTCTGAGGGACCATTGATCATTTATTTTATTATATTTGATCCATCATTTTGATGGTCTAGGACTATCATTAATTTCGAGTCCTGTTTAAAACATTACTAAAAAGCTGTTTATGTATTACATACTCTATAATTAAACTATTTTTCATTTCACTCGCATGATATTAAAACAAAGATATTATAAAAAAAATCTTATTTCAAAACTGATTTGAAATATTAATTTAAACTTAAAATTTCGATAAGCTACGGAGAAACCGTGCAGGGAATAGAATTAATGAAATTGCTCATTTGGCTCGACAATTGGGATCTGTTGAAATAAATTAATTTAGTTGTTTGTATAGTAAATAAGGACCTGCACTTAACACGGTTACAGTTACAAGGCAGCATCCCAGAACAACAAATCTGTATTTCCAGTGTGTCCTAAGTAATCTCAATTGCTTTACAACTTCTTCCACCTGTTGAGTTGTACTTGCCTTCTCACCCTCGTTCCTAATCACAAAATCTGCTCGACTCACTTTTTCTGTCAATGACATTTGAGACTTTATCCTGGCAAGAGCATCCTCTTCAGAAATACTGTCTCTAACCATAAGTCTTTGCAGCTGTTGGTCAGGCTCACTAAAACACATAAATTAATTTACATCCTCACCTTTTTGGTTTTTTTATTGCTAACTTTGTCAAACATTTTACAGAATAAGCTATGCATATATGTGTAAGTAAATTGCCTAATGCTATGTATTAATCAGATTATGTTTACAGGTACAAGAGTATTAAAGGAATAAACAGTCTAAAAATATCAATCAACTCAAATCATAAATTTAAAAAAAAGCATATTAAGCTATTTTGTACAATAGGAAAACATTTAAATTATTTGCATATTTATTTTAATTTTTTTTTTTACTATATATTTACATTGAGGGTCAAACAAACTGCTAAGCTTTATATATAAATCGCGATTAAAAATAAAAAGAAAGTAAAACAACAAAGTAATGTAGAAATAGTAAGAAAAAATAAGACATTCAACATAACATTTTCGTATTATTTTTTCTTCTAAAGTTTATAAAATCGGAAAATCTGCCAAAAGTCAAAAAAATCCTATGTTTATGTTTAAAATTTTTATTTAAATGTGCTTTTAATTACGTGTTGAATGTTATAAACAGAAATCTTTGGTTTGTAGGTGAAAATTGAATTAAGATGATTGAAATCATTTCTATAGTAGCTTTCGAACATTTAGATTTTTTTTAAAAATGAATCTCTATCGTGTTTTTTTTTTTTTTAAAAAAAGATTTTAATTATTCCTATTCAATAAAGTCAAATTCCACAGTTGAAGTTATTCTTCTAACAAAGTATAATCTCAACTTTAATTAGTTATTTTATTCAATTTTTTTGGGTTAAATACATTCTTCAGGGTGTGTAGCGTTTTTAAAAAGAGCTTAAATGTGTTTATTTTGGAGTTTTAAAAGCCCTTAAATGTGCTTTTTTTCATTAGGTGTTTTTAAAAAGTACTTAATTTTTTCTTTGACATGATATTTTCTATATATAGATTCTATATATATATATTTGCTATACATTTTCTTTACCATGTCGATTTGCGCCACGAATTATGCAAAAAGCGCGGTTTTCACATTGTTCTATTTAACGTTTTCACTATTCATTCAACCAAAATCCATTTCTAAGTCACCGTCGTTCTGTAGCGTATGAAAGCGTCGATCATTTTAAATGTTTGATTAAATACTTACGGGTCCGCATGTGCACATATACTGCGCTGAATTCAGTGGGGCACTCTCATGAGCAATTTTGCAAGATATTCTTATTTTCAGGCTCCATTTTCCTCCCTTTGAAATCGGACCAAAATCTCTCGAGTTTTCGCTGATCGCTAAGGGTTAAACTAAACTTTACCAAATTTTAATAGCATGAGAAAATTCTATTTCTCTTGTTAATTTCATCGTTGGTGAAGAGCTTTCATCAATGGCAAGCTAATGGCCTACTTTTAAACTTTTCAGTGCTCTTACCAGTTTTAAGAGAATTACATATTTTATGCATTTCGTGTTCTCAAAATATTTCCTTTAATGTACAGAAATTTCTTTTAGGAAAAAACTTTAGAGGCAAGGTTTTAAAAAGAAAGAGGCAAGAGTTTTTAAAAAAAAAACGTGGGAAGAGAGGAGCCTTCAATATTTTAAATGCCGCAAAAAATTTTATGTTATTCAGATTCATCATTCCAAAATACTCTAAATCATCTCTTAATGATTTGATTTAAAAACAATTGGAGTAAAAAATTTAATTATCTCAGATTTGTAAAATATTATGAGTATAAGAACCATATAATTTATTCTGACAAAAATGTTTAGTTTCAATATTCATTGTATTTACAATTCAAAATTAATTAAATTTGTTTTAATTATTTCATTAAAGAAATGCTGAACCAAGTAATGAATTTTAATAAAAAATTTATTAGGGACCATTCACTAATTTACATTTGTAATAAAGATTTCTTAATTCTTTACATATTTTTATAAATTTGGTATGATCAATAATATTAATCTTGTTAATGTTCTGTTGAATATTCTACCATAAATAACATTTATTTAAATTATAATTAATTAAATTTAATTTAAATTAAAAATAAAATCTGAATTTTTCAACTAACTTCTAATAATGCTATATTCATCCAAAAAATACTAGTGTTGCAACAATTATAAAATTCTCCTTTAACCAAAAAATTTTAATTATATTATTTAAGTTTTCTACTAGCTCCTTTTACCCATTTAACCTGAATGTTTCAGAAGTGTAGATATTTGTCTTAATAGCTTTTAGACACTATTGGAATTTAAAATTATTACATAAAAAAATTACAGACTTTTCTCATAAGTCAATGAATAGCAACACCTAATCTTTTCTTCACCTAAAATTCCTATGACACATTTGTTTTCATTATCATAGAAGATGGAATTAAAATATATTTCATTACTCTTAGTATTTGTTTAAATAATTTAACTTCAGACAAAGTTTTTGATAGAAACAGAATTCATAAAAATTATTACTTGAAAAAAGAAACAGCTTTTTTTTTCACATATAAATGCTGCTGTTTCTGAACCAGATCAATATTGAGTTATCACAAAAACTTTTAAGTTGGCTTATACATTTTGAAACGAATTTCATTCATTCATAATTTTTATCAAAGATATATTACAGAACTATTTGTATTTGAAAAAGGTTCATTTAGGTTCTTTTGGAGAAAAAAAAAGAGGGTACTATAAATTTTACTTTGTTTTTGAATCTATATTTTTAAAAGTCAAGATTCAGAACCAATTAAAAAAAAGAAAATCAAAGGGTGAAACTGTTTATGTCCATGAAAGTTGATTTAAAAAAAAAACGAGTTTAGGATTGAAAATTTTCAGGAGCAAGCATTTGAGTGAAATCCTAAATATAAAAAGATACATGAAAGTCACAAGCATTAATTTACATCCGCTAAAAATTTCAAAACAAAATTTGCACATTTTTAATGTTGAGAAAAAATATAATTTAAAAATTGGGATGAACAGGAACTTCTTTTTATCAAAATTTTTCCCAATCAATACTTTCTCACTAGTGTTCCTTTCATCTCCTTCGAAATACTTTTTTAGTTCTTTTCTACCCGTAGACAGGAACAGTTTTTTCCCCAGAACGACCCACCTTCACAGTGTAATAACTTTTGGAGAGAACCAATTTTCAACATTATTGATTTGTGAAAACTTAATAATCCCCAAAATGTAAAAAAGTGGTCATTTTTGAGAATAAAGGACATAAACTGTTCTTCTCCCTTGATCTTCAAATATGTTCAAAAATCCTTTTATACTAGGCTATGTAAAGTAAATGAATCAACTAACCAGGAAACAACAACTGTTTTGTGCAGATATTTAACCATCTTCCCACTTTCATATAACAATGGTAAATCAATAACAGTAAACTGGTGGCCTAGACAACAAATAAAATGATTAACTTATTTGTAATGTGAAACATACCTACAGAAAAATTGATACTTACATTCTGATTAAACAATATTCCCTTATAACTAACAAAGTAAATATATTTTAAGCTTTAGTTAAAGTTTAATAAACAATAAAATGATGCTTGTTTAATCTTTAATAATCATATAGTAAATGAAAAAATGTTGATCAGGAAATCGTGACACATTATAACTTTAAAATGTGGCATTGGAGAAATCTTACTTTAAGTGAATGTAACACTTGTCATTTAAATACATTTTTTATAGCAATATGATGAATCAATAGTAGAAAAATATTTAATTCATTGGGTCATAATTGTTTTTTAAAAATGCAATTCTAAAAAGGTTTACAGCACACATTTAAGTGACATTTTGTAAATTTAAGAAAAATCAGATTCAGAATGCATAAAAACATTGGGAGATTGTTTTAAAACCATCTTAAATAAAAGACTTGAGTCAAAAAAAATAATAATATTCCATAACTAATTATAACACAAAAATCTGAGTGTTCACATAGCTTCAAATTTTTTGCTAAAATATTTTAGCGTTTATGTAACTGAACTTATGATCAAAAATAAATAAACCTGAAAGTCTGAAAAGAGATTATGAAATATGGATTTATACCTAGAAAAAATAATTTCAGACATTTCCACATTATTGATTTGTAGATTTCAGGATGTGTAAAAGAGTTCAAAAGGCGTCTTTTATCTGGTTGTGAGAAAACTATTTGGCCCATTTTTTGGCGATTTAGAGTTCCATCGGAATTAAACACAGCATCTCCAAATTCTTTCCTAATTTTCTTTGTAGCCGTTTTACCAGGTTCAACAACTAAATGCGAAAACAAAAATGTAAAACATTTACAATTTCATTTGTAATGATAAAAAAGGATTCATAAAGTGCAGTGCAATGTAAAATAGAACATTGGGTTAATAAATGGTTTTGCATAAATATGATTAAATAGATGAGAAATCCATCAAACATGTTTGCCAACTAACATTTAAAAAAAAAAGCCTAATGGTATGAAAATTGGAAGAAAAACTTTTTTTATTTAAGAATAATTAAACACACATTATTTTTCTATAATATTCTAATATATTATTTTTAGGACAGGTAAAACTGTCATGCTTGTAACTAAAATCCTCATTAGTATTAAAAAAATGAACATTTTAAATTTTTAAAAGAAAACCTTGTAGATAATACATACGCTATATAATAATACTACATAAGCTGTAAATCAAATATACTTATACATCAAATTACTAAACTACAAATAAAAGTCCATTTTAACAGTAATAACTAAAGGTATATATGAACGCAGGCCGTATATATGAACAGTAAATATCAGAAGATACATGTAATTCATTGAACATATTACAGTACATAAATTTTTTTCTTAATTTTAATCAGAAGTATTTCGAATCTAAACCAGATCTGCTGAAATTTAAATCAGTTGCTTTATTTCATCTGATTTTCAGAAAAATCATTGCCTTAAATCAATTTCACAAACAAGTAGAAAATAATTTATTTAGCATCAAAAAATATTTCTAAATGCAAATTAAACGCAGGACATAGAAATTTGCGTGCACATTCATTTTAAATGAATGTAACTAACTAGTTTCTGTAAATTTGAGAATAAATTGAAAACATTTCAGAATACTTTCCATGAGGAACAGTACATAAATAAAGCTGAGAATCCAACTACTTCCATTTGAGAAGGAAGAATAGAGAGATAAATACAGGGTTTGAGGGGCAGACCATCCAGTTTGCCCTCTGAATGAAAAATTTTCACAATCCATGTCATTTGAACTTAATTTCAAATTTTGAAATTCTCCACACGATGTAGTCACGACATGTTAACTTTTAATTATCACTTTTTGATGCGTTCGATGGGTGACAATTCTATCACAACTTTACGCTCTTGAAAAAGAAAAAAAAATCCGCAGTACTTCGTCTTTTTTTTTGTTGCCATTTCTTTTTGAATTTCAATATATTTAATACGTAATTATGACAGGTGAATTCGAAACGTTCAATTCTATCGAAGCTTCACATCGTTGGAAGAAGTTTTCTCGTTTGATAAATAAATGTTAAAAAACAATTTGGCCCTTTCCACATGATTTTCAAAACTCTAATATTTTGAATATGTCATTGCAACAAGCGAATCTCGAATTTGAGTTACCATGTCTTGATACCTTCAAATCATGTTGCTTTCGTCTTAAATCTGCTTTGTTTTCTGATTATCTTGTTTTTTTATTCAGATATTCTTTATACAATGATTTAATAACAAGACGCATTGCAGATGGAAACTTACTCTCGTATAAAGTAGCACAGTGGGTGCAGGAACTTGTCAGAGGAATAATGAAATTTTTTATACTTTTGGCTCACTCCATAGTTTTTTATTTTAAATCCCTAACTCAGTATTTTACAACTAATTTCCGTAGTAGCTGGAGGGTATGCCCAGTGTTTTCACTACAGCGCGAGAATGCGAGGATCTCGCATATTTTTTTATTTTCTCGCATTAAAAAAATTATTACCGCGAGAAATTCCTATAAATCAATTTCAAAATTCGCGAATTTCTCGCATTTTGGAAAAAGCTTCGAATTACGCCCTTTAGAATAAAATCCGTTTCACTTTTCTTCCTGGATATTTCATTATTTTCAACATCTGCCCCGTTATCTAGCTTCCCTAATTACCAGTATTGTTCAGAACCTTTTCAAACAACAGAACACAACCACGGAACCCCTTTTAGAACACATTTCTCTGCAACCACGTGTTTATCGTAGGTAAGGTTTCTTCATGTAAGATGTTTAAATTTTTTATGTGCTAATGTAGATGTAATGTAATGTAAGATGGACAAATGCCTTGTAAAGGCAAAATCTTCTATGATGATGCACCAAAAATATTCAATGCTTTAAAAAATAGAAGACGTTAAAAATGTATCATAATTAAAGAAATGATTTTTTTTTCAAGAGTTCTTGTGTTTTTTTAGTTTTTAGAAATCTCACTTAACTTTTTGAAATCTCACCCTGTTTTTGAGAAAGGGTGAGAAATTCTCACCCATTTTTTTTTTCCATGATGAAAACACTGTATGCCTATTGTTTATCTACCTTTCAAAAATATTCAAATAATTTTTTAGCAAAATTTAAGCTTATTTTTAAACTATACATAAAACCAAAATTTCAAGGTTTGAATACAACTCATTCCAGAAAGATAAATTCTAGACCATTTATAAAATTTTGTCAAAGTAGATCAAGTATGACGTAAAAAATAAAATAAAAAACTCAAATTTACTTAGTTGAGCATTTAGCTGCTATTTTAAATACATTAATTGAAATCAAATTATAGGAATTAATTTTTCCTACTTAATTGCCCCATACTAGAATATTTTAATGCAGTTACCTTCTCGGGCAATGACATCAGCATCAATAACTTCTATTCCCAAACTTCTGAGAATTGCCACAACAGAGCTTTTACCAGTCGCAATTCCTCCCGTGAGACCAACAAGAAACATCTCTGCTTCTATTAACACATAATCGAAGAAGATGAAAAAAGAGAAAATATTAGAAAAATTAAGTTTTATCTTCTTAAGAAGGATAAAGAAGCTTTTTACATTGCTGTTTTACTAGCAACTAAGTAAACAGAAAAGATAAACGACAACGCATTTAACAATGTTTGTCAAATTTTTACAACTAAATTGATATTTACCCAACTTGGGTAAAACTTGACGAAACATGTAACCATGAGCGTTTACCTTTTGAGGAGAATGTAAATTAAACATACAAATACAATAGTTTTCTAAATTTCACACCTGGGACCTTCTAAATATTTGCAAAATTATTTTTTTCTTTTTTAATTTTCAGCTTGTTTATAATTAAGTTTAATTTAAATTGATGAAAATCTGTGAAATATTTTTATTTCTTGAAAATATTAAGGATATTTATTGAAATTTCCAATCATTAAAAGGGACAACCACCCACTTTCCCCCACGAAAACGCAAATGCATGTAACACAGAAAGTCAAATTTCCGTCATCCCCCATAATTCTATCATCAGTTTTTTCAACAATGTAATTTAGTACCATACATTTAAAGGGTAGACTTTGACACAATATTGGTACTATCAAAATAATCACCAAGTTCTGTGTGCTTCCAGCAGGGTTTGCCAAAGCAAGCCCAGACCAAAAAATGGGCTCACTTGAAGATTAAAAAAAAAAGATTCTTTTAAGGTGTTTTTTGTTCAAAAGATACTTAACTAGATCAATAGATTTTACTTCAAAAGTAAAAATATCACTTTACTTCATTTCTGAAAAACTATTAGTTTTTAGGAAATAAAATTATTTATGTGGCTTGAAAAAATTATTGAATTTTCTTAAGCAAATTGTAAGCAAACTGTAAGACATAATTTATAGATAAATTAGTTTTATATATTATTATCAAATATAAAAACTACTTTTTTATATCATATAAACATATTTATGAAACTAATTAGTACTCAATGTTTATAATTGCACTAAAATTGATTTAGGTTTTAGAAATTTTTTCCTGAATTGTACAGTGAAATGCAAAAATTGAGATTCAAAATTTTTTTTCATATTAAAAAAAAAGTATGAAGAAAGAATTTCAAAGGAAAAATATATTCAACCTATAAATTATTTTATTTATTTTTTAAAAGTATTTACTTGTAATGTTTATTACCATCCTCCCCATGGCAGAATAGCAGCGACACGTCGACATTGTCGTAAAACGTTACAGAGCTCCGGCAGAAAATTTTTTCTTTTGAAAAGTAAGAAAATATATATATATATTAAATTTTTTTTCTACGGAAATTTACACGTAATATTTGAATCATGCATTTGGACAATCACTTTTTGGTGCACTCATTTTATGCAAATAGCATCGTAAATCGATGTAATGTTTTGATTGTATTTTCGGCAGTTATTGATTTCTCTATAGTTTTTAAATCCGATATTTTTTATACGATATTATACAAGAACCTAATCTTGAAACGAAACACGCGCTTGAGGAGTCGATCTTTTTTGTCGGCAATTACTACTACGGATTACATGATTTTTTTTATTGTGATGATTATTTAAAAAATGTGAAGAAGGAAATAAATTGTGCATCCCCCCCCCAACAAAATGTGAGAATATCCCCCACAATATTAGAATAAAAAATTATTAAATGTTCAATTAAAAAAAATTATATAATTTTTGTTTTGTAAACACAGCGCTTTAATGTTTTGTAAACACAGTTATTTTAAATTAGTAACATATATGTTTGTTAGCATTAAACGTTTCTTGCAGAAAGATATTAGTGCTAGAGAATTTTGTCGCAGATAGCTCGAAAAAATTCTGATACAGGAATCATCCTTTCTTAATATTACTCTCTACTATTCGTACAACTTGATTTCTATCATTATTCCAAATTATTGGCTTAAAACTAAAAGTGGAATTCTTTATATAAAATGAACCTGTAATATTGGGAAATAACTCTACACAACATTACTAAATAATCTATCTGGCGAAAAACATTCAAATAATTTGTATATTAGTTCAAATTAGTTTCAAAATAACTCAAAAAGTCAATCCAATAATTCAAAAAGTTAAATAAGAATTTAAAAAACAAAATTGTAGAATAAGTTGTAATGGTAACCGAACAAACATAATTTTATCCCAACAAACTCAGGAACTAACTCTATGTTAATAGAATAAAAAATTCGTAGATTTTTTAATTAAATAATTTTTAAGTTATAGTCTGTTTGCCGTTAAGAAATAAAAATACATAATAACCTGGCAATCTAAAACATTTTTTTAAAAAAATGGTTGCATTGCAACAAAACAAGTGATAAACTTTCATAAAAAAACAAGTAATGGTAAACTTTCATAAATATAATAAGTAATAATAACCTTTCATAAATACATCTAAAAATAAAAATACTTCTGAAAAAAACTCAAGTGGGCTAGGCTTTTCCAAACCCTGGCTTCCAGGCCTGGAAGTATCCGATTCAGAAATATCCTGCATTTAAAAAAACATTTACCAGCACAATCTAAATGCATTTTTGTTAATTTAAACAAAAAAATTACATTTTAAATTTTCTAAAAATAAACAAACTATTTCTAAAAATAAAAGCCCTATTTTTGTTTACCCAATCAAAGAACATCACTATAACCAAATCCTACAGGACACTCCAGGTACTGAGAGGGGTGAAGCCCATCCATTACTGACGAGATCTTTCAGAAACGAAATGGATGGGCTTGGAGAACAGAAGACACTAACTGGGTTGAGATATTACAAAACACATTATTTCCAATTATATATAATCATATAACATTATGCATTACATAACATATTATTTACAGATTCCTTTCTTCAAAAACCCAGTCTACTACATCCCTCAAATACCCTTGTGTTGACCTGAGAAACCTTCTAACAGAGGACTCGAGATTTATACAGATGGGTCAGAATGGAAACCAGAGAACAAGATAATCTAATTACAAGACAGGCTATGGTCATAAAGTAGAAAGGAATTACGACCCATACTAACTCGGCCCATATGGAAAATAATAGCAGTATCTACTTGGCTGAGGTCCTGGCAATTCAGATAGCACTACAATAGTTAAATAATCATGGCTCTCCCATGGGGTGATCTATGCTGACTTTTCTTTCATCATTACTGAGCCTTGCTGACCCCCATAAACATCTCCTGATTATTGAGGAAACAAAATCAATGTGAAATAATGAATATACTTTAAATGGAAGCCAAGGCATCTACGAGGATCACAGGAAATTAGGAAGCTGATGAGGTTGCAAAGGAGGCAACAATGTTCAGCCAAATCGACATTAAGACACCGGGGGAAAGAACCGAGTCGAAACCTATATCAAACAAATTACTTTTAACCAATGGAAAGAAATCTTGGAGATCCAGTGACATACATGTTTTTTAAGGATCCAAGCCTGAAATGACTGCAGCCCAATTTGTATTTATTCTTAAATGGAGTGTTTGGGATCTATCAAAAAAAATTATTCAGCTTCATGTTTTTATTGCAGTGTGAGGAGACAGGACATAGTTCACCTTATAAAGCACTGCCCTAGATTCCAGACACTTTGTGGGTCTTACATGAAAAATTACCAGGAAGAAAATCAATGGTATGCAATATAGGCCAACAGGAGGATTGTCATTTAACAAACGCTAGAAGATGTTCTGGCCTCTGATCAACTGACTACAATCTTGATTGTATACTTCAATCCCTTTTAACTTATACACAAGTTTTCAACTCCATCTTGATTTACTGTCTAAGTTTTAATTTCAGCCATCTGGATTCTTTTGACTTCAACTGGTTTTAACAATCACTACTCTTTACGTCGATTTTAACTTCTGATGGCCGCCTACACCCATTTTATCCAGTGATTTTACCAATTTAAACGAAATCACTTTGGATGATTTGTCAACACTGACCTTAATAGTCTGACTTTAAACTTCAATAATCTTTAACGACTGCCCCCCAACCATCTTCACTTTAACTGCCTCAACTTTTGAACTGTACAGTACCTTCAAATGAACTGGCCACCTTGTCTTCACTCATCAGTTTGTGGGAAAGCCGAATTCACGTAACTATCGACGAACTACTGTCACCACCACAGTGTGTTATTATCAACAAACTATGCCAAATTGATCCCTTTTTGTTTATTTATTAATTTTTTTTATTTAAAAAAAAGAAGAAAAAAAACTAATTCTAACTTTTCTTGTGATTTCTGATCCCTTGGATCTCTTTTTAGATTTAGCTGTAGGTTCCTTCTGCTGGTCTTGGGTATTGTAGAGGTAAAATTACTTTGCACTTGACCCCGATACCTGCAACTGCTGTTACCTCAGATTAACTTATTATGCGATATAAATTTAACCGTCATTACATATTGTTATCTCCATATAAGCCACCACTGTCATCTGTCAACCATATTATTTCTGATCTAAAATTCTAATACTGTGCAATTGAAAAATATTTTATGTATATATTTTAAATTTTTTTTTATTTAATTAACGCCACGGTTGGGGCCTTGCTGAACGTTGACTGGGCAAGTGTGTGCATCTAAAAAAACAAAAAAAATTTTAAGTGCTAATATCAGGGTTTGAAAAAACCCGGGGATTTTTGAAAAAACCCAACCCGCCTGGGTTTTATTGAAAAAACCCGGGGAAAATTGGGTTTTATTTGAAAAAACCGGGGGAAAATTGGGGGGATTACTTGTCCCATTTGTTTTCAAATAATTAACCCTAGGAAAAGGATTTCATTTTTAGATAAATAATTTTAAAGAGTTCTCCTATAAAAAGTTTTAGCTTTTTTTTTTTTAAGCTAGAAAATAAAACTGTTTAAATTTGTTGATGTATCACTTAGTAAAAAAAGAAAAAAATTGTTTCTTTTAAATTTTTTTTAATATATTATATTATTATATTANCACTTAAAGTTTTCAATAGTATTATGAAATCATAGATTAGAGTTTTTTTACTTTACAAATATTAAAAACGTAATCATATAAATCAAGCAACTCTATTTGACAAATTTATACTTACAACAAATTATATAAAATTAAATGTTCATCAATAAGCTTTAATAAAAAAGAAAAAAAAATTTTTGAAAAAACCCACTTATTGTTCCAAGTGGGTTTTTTCAAGGTGGGCCCAACCAATAAAACCCGGGCGGGTTTTTTCAAAGTGGGCCCACTTGGCGAACCCTGGCTAATATTCAACCTGTTTTTGAAGAAGGAAAAGGACTCTCTACAGCATAAATTTCTCACATTTTAACACTTGTTCTTTTGAAACACAAAAAGAAATAAGAATTGAGAAAAAAAACAATGAAAACTATGAATGATATTGGTATAAAAATCTCACAATATTTGCCAGCTTTGATGGATCGAGGTTTGAGTAAGAAATCACAAGTTTAACAGACCACTGAAGAAGGGAGAAAGGCAAAAGTGATTCAGAAAGAATGGTTTAAATTCTTATGTCTTGAAAAAAAAATTGTTTTTTCTTTCTTACCTGATTTTATTTTTGAACATTAACAATTATTGGAAGTACAAATTAGTTCAATCCGTTTTCAAAAGATGGCTCTGGCTGTTATGACTGTTTCATAGTGACAGCTGGTTTCGGTGGTTTCAGAGAGGTTAGACATCTGTCAATAATATTCAGTTTATATCGCTTTGAGTTTCATACAAAAACCCTGTTTTTTACTTTGTTCAATATGTGAAATTTAGTGGTAACTCAGCAGCATTTGCGGGAGGTTTTACGTTTCTGCTTTAATTGGAAGAAAAGTGCATCTGAAGCGCATGGATTGCTTGTAGAAGTTTATGGTGATAATACTCCAACTGATAAATCATGTATCGAATGGTTTCGACGTTTCAAGAGTGGTGAATGATGTTGTATACTATGAGCTGCTACAACCTGGTGATTCCATTACGGGCAATCGATATAGGTTACAATTGATTCGTTTGAGCCACGCATTACGAGAAAATTGGCTAGAATAAGAGCAAAGACAAAGCAAAGTTATTCTTCTGCATGATAACGGTCGGCCTCGTATTACAAAAAATTATTTGGAAGCGCTCAAGTGGGATATTTTACCGCACCCGCCATACATTGTTCTCTCTGATAACTGGTTGTTCCGACGAATGCTACATTTATGCAAATATTTCGAATTGGTTATTCTATGTATGCAAGTATTAATAAGAAAGATCAACTAGGTTTAAATGAGAGCAAAGCACAGGGTTCCCACTCTTTTAAGAAAGCAAAAATGATGCACTTTTAAGGACTTTTTTTTAAAAAAATTAAGCACTTTTTTGAAAAATTTAGGACTTATGCCACCGGTGACAGTGCCAATTATTTACCTTTCTAAAAACATCAATAAATAAAAAAAAATAATAATAAACAATTGTATTAATTAACAGGCCTCGGCAAAGAAGCACCAGGTAATTTTTGCAGGAGAAAAAAATTTCAGATTGTTAAAAGTTAACGTCATTTAGATTGTAAAAGTTAACAAATGAAACTAATATGTATTCCATTTTTAATGATTTCATTGAAATTGAATTGTAAAATTAAGTTTTCATGTATGTTAAAAAAAAAAATAAAGAAAGAAAATTGGCAAAAACATTGAAAAAATTATTACAGGAAGTTTTTATATTTCACTACTAGACCAGCAAACATGTTATAATTACTTCTATGATGAACTTAAACAAAATTATTTCCATCCAAACATGCTATTAAGAATTAACTTTACATAATGCTACTAAACATTCTGGTGAAAAAAATTAACTCATTTTAAAGCAACCAAAAACTGAACAAAAATTAAAAACAGTATATTAAGTTGCAATGTTAACTGAATAAAATGATTATTAAAATCTAAGGATCTTTTAGTTTATTAGATTTAGATTTTTATGTAACATTCTGCTTATCCATTAGTGATGCTAAAAAATTAAGGACTTTTAAGGGCCCTTATTTTCCAAAATAAAAATTAAGCAGTTTTTAAGGACTTTTAAGGACCGTGGGAACCCTGAAGCAGATTTAAATCAATCAGAGTACTTTAGTTGATTATGATTTTATGAAAATTATGTGCTATTTTAACAATATAATTTCTTGCTTAGTAAATGTTTTTGTAGTTTCAAAAATGGACTTTAAAATTTTGCTAGCAAAATGCCATAAACTCTGCTAGTAACTATATAGAAGTTGTCAACTAACACATTTAATTTTTCCATTACCAAGATATAAAACAAAGTCGTGAACATAAACTAAACTTATACCCCTCCTTAAGGGGTTAAGGACCTTATTCCAAAACTGAATCAAATCCAAAAATAAACTTTGGGTTCAGCAAGATTTTTGTTATTTATCAAAATTAATATCAAGATTGCAAAGCCATAATCTAATCATATAAAGATACAGTACTAAATCACGTTAAAATGTAGCAATTACAAACATGAATTACATAGAAAAATGTTATGCAATTAAAGTCGAAAATAAAATATTTACATAATAAAATAGTATGCAAATTAAATAATTGCGGGGTGAAAACTGAATGGGAGAGATATAACTCTGAAATGAAAATCAAAAGTTCTTTTTAAATAATAAGGAAAACAATATTCTTCTTAGAAATCTAATTCATATGTAAATATAAACATTAAATAATGCGGTTGCAGTTAAATAAAAAAACAAGCCATTAGTATATTTTCACCGATGATCCCTTCTTTTAAAAGGAAAATTAGTTTATTTATTATGAATTATGCATCCGTTATGATGAGAAAATTGGTTTTAAATAACGCTGAAAACTACATAATTCCAAATAAATCTTTACAAATTTACGATAAAAGTTATAAGCAAGTAAAGTTTAGTGGTAATACTCGATAACTGAATTTACTACTGAATTAAATAAAAAAATTATATTTTTGTTATATGAATACTCAATAGAGAGCAGCACTAGATATCATTCGAAAAGAGTTGAAAGATAAATTTACTTTTAAGGAATCTTAATTTTTATTTGTTTTATTTATTTATTTTGACAACATCTGAAACACGAACCATCTATCGTTTCATTAAAATAGAAGAAATGATTCTGATATAGTATTTCAAGTTTGATGTAAAATTTCAAATGTTTGTATTTTAGACCATGTACATAAAATAAACTAATGTATGATAATCAAAGTCTAAACAATCACAATTTAAAATAACCTATTCAAAAAGACAAACTAAAAAAAAAATAAGGTACAGATTTAAATTTTTGAGCAAAAATGAAAAGAAACTTAAAAGCGAAAGGCTGAAAGAGAAAAAACAATATTTTAAGAAATATCTTAATCTTTTTTTCTTTTTTAATATCTTAATCCTTTTATCTTTATATCTTAATCTTTTTTTTAAGCTTTAAATTGTTATTGTTATCAAATCAGGAAATTTTTATGGTGGATAACTAAAAGTGAAAATTTTTCTGTTATTTCACATTAAATATAAGCTCCATTTTTGTTATTTTACAATAAATGCCCAAATTATAAAATAGCATGTACGTTCTACAGTTGGAAAAAAAAAATTCTACCCTAACAACATCAGAAGAGATCTTTCTCTTCATAATTTTTTGTTCTCGGCGAATTTTTGATGATACAATAAAATAATCTTATTTCTAAAAAGATAAGAAAGTTCGTTATGTTAGAATTTTGGAAAAACAGTTCTTAACAGCGTTAACAATTTCTGGTGATTTTAAGTTTCCTAAAAACTTTCAAACAATAAAATGATCGAATTAGTAATTTTTGTTGGGTTTTTAATGACTGTGCATTTGATATTTTCGGATTTTTTTAAAGAAAGACCTTAACATTATTTTAACAAAAATTATTCAAAAACAGAAAGATTTTTCAAAACTCTAAATATAGTTAAACTTATATAATGTTTTATGCTAAAATACCATTCTGCGAATGTTTTTTTCTTCTTTTTTTTCTTCCCCTTCCTAAATTGGTTGCATAATTTTGCTATTAAAAATCCCAGTAGCACAATTTTTAATATGTAACTCTTGGGGCCGGGATAGCCTGGTCGGAAATGCATTTGAAACACCTTCAAAAGATTAAAAATTATAAAACATTTTTTTTTTTTTTACCTTTTGGAGATTTTGAGCACTCTGGTAATAGAACATTTCCTCTTCACTCTTTTTTTCTTTTAAAGATAAGGAGAATAAGTTTTAGTTTTCCGAGACTACCACAACTTTTTAGCATTTATAACGTATATATTTACTCAGCAGAAATTTCTCAAGCAGATAATAACGCAAAGAAAACAAGAAACGAACGCAGAAAACAAATAGTAAAAGGAAAAAATTAGGTAAAAGGTTTATTAATAAAAAAAAGAGTAAAAATTATGAAAATTATAAAAAATTATTAAAAATGAGAAAATTTAACAACGAAAAGATATTATCTTTTTGCCAACCCACACGATTATATACGCAAAAATTAGTACTTTCTGGCATCGTACTAATATAGTCAAAGCAAAGTATATCAATACAATAGTATTAATTTGTAATAAGTCGGACTTGTCATTACGCTCACTATTGTAATTTGTAAATAGTTAATTTTGCACTCAATAGTGTTGATGTAGAAAACTATAAAGATAGAATGAATTAAAATGAACAATTGTTACAAAAGTTAAAAAAAGAAAATCACGCCTTTCATTCTCATTTTAAATTTTTTGAGTACTTAAATGTAATTGAATAACCCTTTCCAAACAGGTAGACATTTCAGTAATAAACTTTGAATTCCTTTTAGAGATTCATTCATCATTTCTGAGTTCAGGCCAAGCAATTATGTATCGAAACAAACTTTCAAAAATGATGTACTATAATCGATAATGTATGTTTAAAGGACTCAATGCATAGGCAGTTGTAATCCACCTCACCCATGTTTCTGCTTTAACTTATACTCCGTTTTACTCTTTCCGTGAAAGTATCTTAAGATAGAGATCTTCCTTATATAAAGAAAAGGCATTAGAGTCTTATGGACACACATAAAAGTAAAACAATGAAAAAGATATTTTATTAGCATTAACCGTATTCAAATTATCTGAACTTCACAAAATGGCCAGCAAAAATTCGAGCTTGTCACTTTAACTTTATGCTTCAAATTGTTTTTCGAGCCATGATTCGAATTGGACTTCAAAATAAAATAAATTTGTAGATAATGACTGCCAGGCGCATTCTCATTGGACAGATGCATCACGTGGTTATAACTCATTCAGTATCAAGTCAGAAGTCTAACGTATGTTGTGCTTCTTCCTAAGTAATAGATGATTTAAATAAAATTAAATAATGAGTCGAGTGTTGGCCACTACAGAGAATTAGATCTTTTGAATGGTCATTTCATACATCTGCAGTACGTACCATAGTTTCAAAAACCAAGACTTCTGCAACATTCTTCGAAATATCAATGCAATGACTTCTATTTTTCTTTTAACAAACTTATTAAATAAATAACCTCCTTGAAAAGAAACAGCGCTTGGAAAACATTGATAGGAAGCAGCCTATGCACGATTTTAAATCATTTCAAAACGAAAATACAGTAAGTATGAAGCTATTAGAAAGATTTTGTAAAACGTTTCCATTAACTTAAACGCTATTTCAGCCTCACAGCATATTCGCAAAATTTACCTTCAAATTTTCAGCATCTTTGTGGGATCAGAAATAAAGTGAGACAAAATCCCTCCTCTGAAATTCTCGCTATTAAAGAAAATAAATAAATACGTGATTAATAAAAGTCATACAAATACGTGTTAATCAACACCATTTAGGGGTTAACACCAAAAAAGGTTTTACAGGCTCTTAGTTCATTACCTTTACTTATTTATTAATTTATTAGTTCTTTAGTCTTAGTTCTTTATTCTCTCACACTATGAAAAGCATAATTGATAATAATCATAATTTTTTAAATAATGCCTACTACAACATAGCCACCTAGATCTAGTAGGCTATTAATTAACATCCATATTTTGAGGGAGGGGGAAAATCACGTCAGCTCAGAGAATATGCAACAGTAAAGGTTTACTGTTGAACAATAATGAGTCACATATTTTTCGCATCAGTTAACATTTTTCTTAACAATCAACATTTAAAAAAACTAGTTTCAACCTTCTGACTACCATTTTAAACAGATTTTAAAAGTGAACTATTTCTATAGATAGTTCCCTCTCTTCTAGGGGATGTTCAAATATGAAGTGGGAAATTTTGGATCCCCCCCCCTCTTCCCTTGTCAGCAAAAATAAGCAAATCACATGCTTATTACAATCACAAGCTAATAACAAAGTCACAATAAGAAAAACCTCCCTCCTGTTTTTTTTCTTTCTAAATTTTGACTTCAACCGTAGTAATTTAATTTTAAGATTAAATTCGATTGAGTGATGTAATTTTACAAAAAACAAAAATTTTTTTTTTTTAGTTAATTTTATTAACTTCTTAACAAAATATTCGTTTTTTAATCTTCTGTGACTAAAACTTTTGACCCCTGAGACTCATTGAAGAACATTTTTTTCCCAAATTTCTT